CAAAACATTTGCTTGCCACCCAAGTACCTGGCATCAACTCCTCATTTTGTCCCCTCCCTCCCTGCTCCCCACTCCCTCATGAACCCTCGATAATTTACGAATTGTTATTTTTTCATATCTTGCATTGTCCAACGTCTCCTTTCACCCACTTTTCTTTTGTCCATCCCCCAGGGAAGAGGTCACATGTAGATCCTTGTAATCGGTTCCCCCTTTCTACCCCACCCTGCTTCCACCCTCCCAGCATCGCCACTCACACCACTGGTCTTGAAGGGATCATGTATCCTGGATTCCCTGTGCTTCCAGTTCCTAGCCAGATTTGTAGATACTGCAATTATAATGCCCCATTGGTATCACTATAATAAAAATAAGCTTACTTAATTTGTAATTAACCAGTATTATAATTATTTCGACTTTTGCTCAAGTTTTTACATTTTAAATAAAATAATTTTGTAAAATATTTCTTAAAATTAACATACTTTATGACATGAGAATGTCTGTTTTAAATTTTCATGATTAAAAAAGGTAAATTAATTTTCGTAGACAGGTATTTTACATACAAATAATCCAAAACTAGAATTGAACAAAAAAATTAGCACATAGTTTACTGGTGACTCTAAGAAAGTATATCATTTAGAATATTAGAATTATCATAGTATTGTTTAGAATAGTTTGCCATATTCCCAATACAATTATTTTATGTGTTGCTGCTGCTTGGTGCCACTAAGTTGGTGCCAATTCATAATGAACTTTAGTAAAATCTAAGTTTATTAAAATTCTTACCAAAAATAAAAAGAAATTATTGCCAAAAAGTACATACAATGCCCAGCAAAATAATAAAATCGTTGAAATAAGAGTAGAAAATGATTTACAGTGAACCCTCGCCACTTCGCGCTTCAACTTCCGTGGCTTCACTCTATCGCGTTTTTTGCGTAACAGCACTCACTGCCTACACCTGCTCCTTCAGAGGAAAAAGACGGCGACCCACCTGTAGAGTACATTCCTTAAGTCATTTCATAGGCTATTGATTACAGTATTTGTAAGAACCCATGTATAATAATACTGTATGTGAAATATGTAATACTGTAAACTAGATGCCATAAATAATATAATAAATAATAAATGATCATTGTAACGTCCAAAATGTTTTACTGTATTTTCCATTTTTCGTTTAATAAATTGGGTAATACGAGTGTAATGGTGACTAAAGGGTGTTTTTTCATGTCCTCTATGCTCTAACTACGAAAATATTTGATTTACAAATAAGGAATCCTATTTCGCGGAATTTCATTTATCACGGTAGGGTCTAGAACCGATTAACCGCGATAAACGAGGGTTCACTGTATTCACCTCAGAATTTGTTACTCCAAACTTCACGGTTATTGTGGTTGCAGATTGTTCATTGGGCATAAGAACAGAGATAACAGCAATCGCTAAACTTGGCATGTCCTAAGGGCTTAACTTATTGTATGTCAGGCCCGAAAATGTATGTATTATATTCTTTATCTCATTTAATGTTTACATTAGCTCAATGCCACTTATTTACAAGTGAGGCAAAATGAAAGCTGACGCAGATTAAATGAATTGCCTGGTGTCACAGGGCAATGAAGGGTAGCCTGCCTCTGTCTAGGCCTTTTTTTCTTTCTAACCATACTGTCAGCACACCCAGCTTTTCCATCTGGATCTACCAGTTCTCTTTTGTGTGGCTTTTGATTACTCATGTCTGGTCTCCAAAGCTCATTTTCTTTCTTTCTTTTTCTTAATCATTTTATTGGGGGCTTGTACAACTCTTATCACAATCCATACATCCATCGTGTCACGCACATTTGTACATTTGTTGTCATCATCATTCTCAAAACACTTGCTTTCTACTTGAGCCCTTGATATCAGCTCCTCTTTAAAGCTCATTTTCATTAGCGGCAAAATGGGAATTATATCAACATGTGCCAAGAATGAGAACTAAATAAGACAGTTGATAAGAAAGGATTATCTGAATTGTGGAGCTAAATAATGCTATGTCTGTGTCATTAATGAGATAAGAAAGTGAACCGTGAATCGGGATCATGATAGTGGAAGGGAGGGAGCACTGAAGAAGTAAAAAAAGGAGAGAAAATACTGATTAGTTTTTGGTCACAGTTTTGCAACAAAAAGAGTACAACTCAGACAATATTCCTATCTGCTAGAAATCTCTATGGTCATAATAGACGTTAGATAAAAGGCAAACATGAAGATCTATTATGCCTTCAGAAATACTAGCTAAATCCTTCTGGATTATGATAGAAGTGACTAGTCCATCAGGAAAACGAGATTATAGGGGACTGTGCTCCTTCTACCACACAGGACACTCTACAAAGCTCTTGAAAAGTGAAAGCTTTCTGAAATTAATTGGAGTATTATGAGGTACAAGTTTCTATGATTAATAAAAAAAAAAACCCTGTTACTTTCTGAAGTATTTAAATTCTTACTTCCAGAAAGGGAAATAATACTTAAATGTCCCTTCATTCTTCGTTTTAGATAATTAATTTAAGTGATCATTAGACATAATTCTAGAAGTCCTTATGGCTTTAAAAAAATTCTCATATGCATGGTCTCAACCAAGATAACACGTGTATTAACATCCAGAATTTGAGATCAACAAACTAGGGTTCTCCAGTTTTGCCTTAGTTTTCTGTCTCAAGGACTTGCTAATTTGTCAAGGCATTTCATAGGTAAAGTTGAAGTGTAATACTCTTTCTCTGGCCCTAATTACAGCCTGCCCTATGACTGCTATGTACCTTGTACGATGCAATTAAAGATGCAAATTAACGATGCAAATGGAGTGACTATAGTCTATGCAAATAGAGTACCTGTAGCCTCTTATGCAAATAAAGGGTCTGTGACCTGCTGAGAGGGAATCAGTCAGTTCTTGGCTCTGGGGGAAGGCCCATACTCTGAAATTGATGAGATGTTTCTAGATAATAAGCAATCAATCCCATACAGATTTCAGAGACAGAAAAAAGCAGGAGGCGAGAAAAAGCAGCAAGGACAAAAGGCAAGAGAGAAGCAGAGACAACATAAGCAAGAAACTTTCGAAAAGAGCTGTGGAATGGGCCAAAGACGGTCACACTTAAGACAGTGACCAACAAAAGGAGACTGGTAATGGAGCTGGCAGTGACATGTCTGCAAGGGGCATATGGCAGAGCTGGATTAGCAAACTCAAAGGAGACATAGACAGTAGGAGGGACATTTGGGCTTAGGTTGGAGAATAGAGAGATGTCTGGCCCCCACCTTATGGAAATTAGCTTTGGGCTGATCTTGGTCACTGCCCCTCCTGAAGTTAGACTGATTCTATGGTTAGTTAAACTAATTTGGTACTATTTCTACATCTACGACATCAAACAAGTTTCTATTTTGCTCTTGGCTTTCTATTTTCTAAAACATGTGATTTTTATGTATCTCTTAGCAGTTCAAACACACGCAGCGTCATCTTGGTCCCAGCCTCAAAACCATATGGAACCATTCTATTCTACACTTACAGGATTTCCCTGAGTCAGAATCACCTTGACCATGACTAGCAATACCAACAACAGTGGCTTTTTCTCTTTCTTGGCATTGATATTGTTAGGAATTTTAAAAGATTATACAGCCAATAGCCAAAAAAAAATAGTACCACGGGGGCCCCATAGTTTCAACCATTCCTTTATTCATTTTCAAGATCACCATGGCATTAAGTGCAGTAATAAACTCCTTTCATGGTATCAAAGAGAACCTTGCGTGGTGAGAGTACAGTACTTTCTTTGTTGTGGCTCTTCTGGACCTTGTCTTTGTAACTTCTACAAAATGATCGGGTGGAAACACAAATAGTATGTATGGAATTCTAACTTATGAATTGGCCAATTTTGTCGTCTTCTGGGTATACAATGAACTATCTCAGAAGCAGAAACAGGACACAACCCTACCATCAAGAAAGAAAAAAGGAATGGAGCACATCCTTTGGACTCAGAAATCCAATACATGCAACATTCTTGAATAAGCAATCAGAGCTGTGATACCAGAGGAGAGATGACAGCAGAGGCAGCACAACCAAGGGCACAAAACACAACTGTGGGCTTTTGGTCCCAGGGGGACAAAAGGAAAACTATGCCTTTGGATAAGAGGCTCATTTGTGAAGCGAGATGCTTCTAGGCATTTAATATGGGGATCGGTGTTTGCTCACTCACAAAGCTAGAGCTGAGTGTTTTCCAGGGTAGGCGTATGGCACAGGGGTGTGATTTAGGGACATTTATCAGCAGTCTTGAAGGAGTTTTGTAGCACTTGTCCATGCCAGGCAGTAGTCAGAAAGTCACATGGCTGAGAGTTAGACGTGCCAGCAGGTGGTTAGAAGAGGAGCTCCTCATCAGACGAACTGTATCCTGAGCCCTTCTGTTCTTGAATTACAACCTGGTAACTTCCCTAATATGCGTCGTGATTATGAGTGTGGCATGTAAGTTCTGTGCAGCCATTGCAACGAATGACCACCTCCAGCAGAGAAGTAGAGATTCTTGCAAAGGGTTAAGTGGTGCCAGAATTGGTAAGAAGGCTAAAGGGTAGAGGCGTGGCTGACCTGCACCTTTAAAAAGTCAGCCTTGGGCTGAGGTTGAGTTTGATTCTCCTTTCTCCTGGTGAAGCCAGGGGAGTTCAGGCAACACTCTTTCACCACTCTTACAGTATAAAGGTTAGCATGCTTTATAGCATATCAAGGGGTTAAAGTGTCCAGTACACCCAGCAGCACGTCAGAATAAAGACGTTGTAGTCTGTTTCTCAAAAATCAGCAAATGAAAACTCTACAGACATACACTAGATTGTCAAGAGTCAGAATCAACTTAACAGCAATTGTTATTGTTGGTTTTTTGAATGGTTTTTAATTGTGTAAACCCACGAAGCTCCTAATGTTCAAAAACCTTAAAGTCATAGCTTTAAGAAGTAAAAAATAAATAAATAAATGAAATTACATGGAGATATACAACCGCCAAGATCCTACCCACCTCCTGGCCGTTGGTGCTCTCCATCAGTGTGTAAAAGCATTGCGATGGGCATCCCTACATTCTTGGATCTTCCAGCCACAACCACATTCTTCCCAAACGTTTCAATTCCTTAAAATACAGAGTTTGATTTGAGTGCAGTACCAACAAGAATTAAATTAAATTAAACATCTGAACTGTCAAGTGTAACATTCTTTAAAAACTTCTAATTAAATTTGGATTATTGTGTAACTTGTGCGATGCACTCAGTGATTATCTATAAATACTGCTTTTTAATGCTTCTTGGATTTAACACTTCGCTTCTGATGATGTCAGAATTACAAAGCCCACTAGTATTTTCAACCTGCCATTAAATTACTTTCCAACATGGAGATTCACATGAAGAGTTAGAAGTGTAGAAGCTTACACATATTAACCATTAATTAAAACATATAAAGTACAAAAAAAAAAAAGGAGTGCTAGTGGCACAGTGGTTAAAGTGCTCAGTTGCTAATTGAAAGATAGCGGTTCAAACCCACCAGCTGTGCAGTTTGTTTGTGTAAAGATCCCAGCCGTGGGGAGCCTACGGGAGCACTTGTACGTTGTCCTACTGGACCTGGAATTAACTCAATGGTAACAGTGTTTGCGAGCTTAAAGTACAATCATGCCATGCTTAATTGAAAACCAATCTTTGACCAATTATAGAACAGAATAAAATGACAGAAGAATATGCTTCACGAAATGCATGCACTTGACCCCAGAGGCGAGATCTGAGCTTACAAATGGAGAAGCGGGTCTCTTTGTACATAAAATGAGATTGTCAGAACTACTGTAAGGTTTTTCCAAGTGGTAACATTTGAGGGGAATGATTCGAGCATCTGCTTTCCCTTGGGGTTTTTCACTCTTAGTTGGGAAACAGCAGACTAGGAAAGAGAAGACACAGCCAGAAATGGAAGTGGCAGTGATGGAGGCAGGAGAATCATCAGTACGAAAGGCAATTAAGATGACAGCATAAGGGTGAACATCTCTGCACACCTCAAGAGTCCTTGAGATCCCTACTATATTTATCACAGCTCAGAAGTAAATGTTTATTATGAAAATCTAGACCAATCAAGAAAATCTTGAAATACGAGGGGGTAACCCCTATAGACATGGAAAAAGAGCTCCCCTGTGTGGAACTTTCATAGTATGCATTTTTTTCCCCACTAAGTGAGCATCCAGGAACTCCCTCTGAGGTAGTGCACCCAGTAGCATCACATGGGAAGGTTCTCTATGGTCACAGTGAATTTTTTCATAAATGCAGTTTCGCTCAAACCTCATTTTTGGTGATGGTCTATTTAAGAAAACAGCAGGTGGCTATGAAATTTTGTTTGCTGCTCAGGAAAAATGCTGCAGAAACTGTTGTGATGTTGAACACAGCTTACAAGGAAAAGCTCAAGTGTACAAGTAGTTTTCTCATTTCAAAAAAGATGAAATATTGATTGATGGCAAACCTTGTTCTGGCCATTCATCAACTTTCCAAACGGATGAAAATGTCAACAAAATGCAAGCACTTGTGCTCGAAGACTGACAAACCAGTGAGGGGATGGGGACGTTGTCTGGACTATTTGGAGGTCAGTTCAGGGAATTTCTTTTTAATCCTTTCAGTTTAGTGAATTTTAACAGAAGATCTGGGACTGAGAAAGGTCACTGTGAAATGTGTGCTATGGCTACTGACTGACCAGGACAAAGAGTGTCAAGTGGAAACATTCTGTGCTCTGAAAGATCAGCTCCAAAGCAACCCAGAATTTTTTTCCCAAGGTCATTACTGGTGAGGAGACATGGTGCTATTCTTATGACACTGAAAACAAACATCAATCTAGCCAGTAGAAGATGCCATCATCACCTCGCCTGAAAAAAGCTCTTCAAGTGAAATCAAAGATCAAGAAGATGCTCAATAGTTTTGTTTTTGATGTGAGGGGGATGGTGCATTTAGAGTTTGTTTCACCAGGTCAGACAATTAATCAAACTGTATATATAGAGGTTCTCAGAAGATTGTACAACAGTGTGTGACAAAAAAGGCCTGATTTGTGGGAGACGGGGAATGGGTTTTACCACCATGACAAAGCACCTGCTCACGTAGCCCTCTCAGTGTGCCATTTTGGGGAAAAACCAGCATGACTCTCTTGCCCCATGTACCTTACTCATCTGACCTCACTCTGTGTGACTTCTTTTTCTTTCCATGAATGAAGAGGGATATGAAAGGACAGTGATTTGACCTTGTAGACGAGGTGAAGAAAAAATGAGGGAGGTTCTATCAGCCATCTAAACAGATGGGTTTGAAAAATGTTTCCAAGAATGGAATCACAGATTTGATGAATGTATTAAGTACAATGTAGAGTAGTTTGAAAGTAATAAAGTTGTTTTATAAAAAAATTTAAATGCATAGCTTTGGAAAAAAAAGTCTGGTTGTTTTTGGGTACCCCTTCACATGGAGGTAAGGCTTTCAGTTCACATGTATGGATTGTAAACATGTCTTTAAGCTCTGGCAACTGTTTTGGTATTTCAAAGGGTGATCTTGATAAATTTTCTGGAAAGACAAAGTATGATCATGGGGTCTTATTACCAAAAAAGTTCTAAGAAATGTGAAACTCCATTGGAGACTTAAAGGCCAGGAAAGCTACACCCACGAATTTTTTTTCATCATAACAATGTATCTGCTCATTCTTGTATGAGGGCTGACTTATGAGAATGTTGCTGGAAATCCCTAACTCTTCTACCTGACGGTGCTGATTTTTCCCCTTTAGACTCCTTTTGGTACCCAAAATTCAAAACATAATGAAAAAAAGAACAATTTGGGTCCCTCGGGGATGCCAAACTGCCGTTCCAATGTAGGGCAAATCAAATAATACAGAATCTTTCAAGGAAAGGTTAGAGATGGAAACTCTGCCTTCCCAGGCCTATAAATCCTAACATGGAAGAAACATTGAGAAACAATAAGCTTCACTTTTGACATTTTTGTTTAATCAAGAGGTTTCTAAGCTTTTGTAGCAATATTTTTTACCTTCCCTCGTATGTTTAGCATATTTTACTTTTAAAGATAAGGAAAAAGCATTGTACACTCTGGAATAATTTTCAACAATCACAATAAGCTTATAGTTTAAAAGTAGAGAGGGACACTTTATATATGGAAAATTCAACCCCTACAAGAAGCCACTCTCTCTAAGACAGCCCTGCATGTGCACACCGACTGCATGGTCCTGTTTTATTTAGTTTGGCTTACTCTCTTTCTGACACTTAAATCTTCCTACAGACTTAAGTTTGATGACTTGTTCATTTGTGTCACTCAATAGGACTAATGCAATATACAAAATCTCATTACAACATTTAGTAATTCAGTCCTTACAAAGCCCAAGTTACCAACCTGTTCTCTTAATTATTTCCCAAACAGCACTGGCAGTGGCAGGTATGAGAGAATGCTGATCAAGGCACAACCTTCCAATATTGATAATATGAAATCCATCCACATCTTTTTCAGGAGTGATTCCATTGCATACTGTTTGCTCTTCAACATGGTCTGAAAAGCAAATTAAATTGGTCTAAATTAAAAAATCGTTATTTATTTAGGAGCCTAGAAAATGAGAATCCAAGACTTACAACAAGACCACTTATTATGTTGTAGCAGCAGTAAAGGTATAAAATCCTTTCTCTTTTCTTTTTCTTGCCTCCAAAATAATGAGCCAATCTGTTCTTGGCTCATGGTGATAATGAACTGCTAAGAGTATTATACGTCAGGAGTGGCTGATCTGGTCAAAGGGAAATATTTGTGAAATAAGAAATACCCATGCTATATGGAAACAGTCAAGTCATAAGTCTTTGCCTCAATATGTTTTCACATTCAGGAGGGCTTAATTCTGTTTCACCTTTACACATTATTTCATTAATAAGTTTCTATTAAGTTACTTCAAGCTATGAAAATAAAAATGACTTTATTAGCATTAAAAAAAAGATTCACACCAGCTTTCATACTTACATCCTTTTCAAATGACACAGCAAAAATCAAATGTAAATGTAAAACCTACACACATCCTTTCCCTAAAGCACTACCTCATGGAAATCCATGCGATTATGGTCTACATGCAAGAAAACGAATGCAATCTGACTAAAGGACTAATCATATGGGATGAGGTCCCAGTTGCCTCATTTTGAGAAGTACTAATTATACCAAAGAACAAGCCTGCAGCTGTTCAGTGGATTCCAGTTCGTAGCAACCCTCAAAGACAGAGTTGCAATAGAGGTTCTAAACTGTAAAGCTTTATGGAAGCAGACTGCTACCTTTTCCTCCTGCACAGCAACAGCTAAGAATGAATCTTTGACCTTCCCATTAGCAACTGAGTGTTTACAGAATAGCAAGGCTGTAATTTGTTATAGCACCAAATAGGTTCAACTTTCTCCCATGGAGCAGCTTGGGAGGTTGTACTT